ACCCTGACATGGGTGCTGCTCTTTTGCACGAGCAGTAAGCACTCTTAACCACTGGGTCATGTCTCCTGCTCCAGTCCCTGTTGGTGCAATAGGTAAAATGAGCATCTTCTTTTCAAAAAGGGGTTTTGTTTTCTGCCTTTATTGATAACCCAGGATCCCTTTCTAATTTGTGTAGTGAGCAGTATTAGTGAGAATGTCCAAAAGCCAAAGGAATTATTGTCAGCCTCGGCCCTGTGAGTTGCCCTATAAATGTCCTAAAGACAAGGCATAACAGTGAAAGTCTTTCTCCAAAGTTAGGGGACATTCCCAGGCCTACGGCTGACTGACTTCTCCAGCTAACCTCTGTAACATGGGGCTAGCCACAGCAGTCACAGCAGCTATAGCAATGCCGGCAACTAAAATGACAGACACTGCTCTGTTACAGGTCTCAGAATAGAACACAAACCCATCTTCTATAGAATCAGAAAGGAAAAGAAATTCAGGAGGAGAAAAGGAAAACTAAAGGAAAGATGGGCAAGAAGAGGGGGAACGTCTGAAAGGAGCAAACAGAGGCAGCCGTGAGGAACCGCAAGTGGTCAGTCATCTGCGGAAGCGGCAGCTGACCATCCGGGTCACATAGCTGGCGGAGCCATTTGGGGAGAGCTCGGAGCGGCGCCGGCGCGGCGCAGGGCCTTTTTGCCTGTGACGCATGCTCATCTGTACCTCCCCCATTCCCCCCCTTCCTCGGCGCCAGACACCCAGGCTTGTATAACTTGTAAAATGGCGGCGTCGGGACATTTGCGTACTTCCTGGGGTTAGCAAAGCAGCTAGAGGATGACTCTCTAAGGACAGTGGAGACACTGGCCAGTTAATGTGTCCCGGTGAGTGCCTGGCCTCGTGCTGGTCAGCGAGGAGGTCGGGGCAGCGGTCACCACTCTGACCACATTTTCTGCCGAGAGAAAGAGTACGGCGTGCATGTCCTAATTCTCCCCTGATTCACACAACGTGATAAGTGATCACTCTCCGCATCACCCGACCTCCTCTGATGAGACGTCAGGCCAGCGAGGGCGATTCCTATAAAAGCTCCTTCTTAGAGGTTTCCTTTCACTTTCCTTTGTCTAACTGGGGTTTTGCGGATTCCACGTGTCTCCAAAATGGAGCATTTACTCCAGTTCCTCAGAGACCTCCAAGAACAGTTTGATCTCTTGGACCTCAGCTCTTTCTTATCAAAACTTAGTAGTTTGATAAAACTAACCTGTTTGTAACGTACTGATTATAAGTATATTAAGCTTTTTTAAAAATGCCTTTCATATGTACCCCAAATGAGGATCCTAGTATATAATACTGAATATGTGGTCTGGAAGTATCTGAGTGCTTGTTATGATAGGATATAAAAATGATCTATGTTCTCTTGTTGGATGCTTATTTGGTCAAAAGAAGTGTCATTTTCTTACTTAGGCATTGCTGAATAAAGTATGAGTTGTTACAAGCATTTGGAAGCATTAAAGTTGCAATATTTAGGGAAATAAAAATATAGCTATTATTTGACCAAGTATATGGAATACCAAAGTCCAATATCTGGAAGTCAGTAGCCTGGCTTTCAAGGAGCCATCCTTCAGAAAAGAAAGCATCAGTATATAAAGAAGGACAGGTAAAGAGGATGATTGTGCAGCTTTCTTTTTGTGGCAAGTAATGAGAAACAACCTGTGTATCCATCAGTAGAAGAATGTTAGAAAAAGTTTGTATATTTGAGTCTTTGGTATAACAGTTGCTATGATAGCTTGTTACATTAAGTTGCAGAATCCTGTGATCTCATTTTTCCCCATGTATGTATAGGGTGACACAGGTACGTTAAAATTAACTTTGTTTTTTAAAAAATTATTTTGATGGCTTTATATATTATGAGCTATATTACTAAGAGATAGAATAAAATCAAACATTAACATTATAGTTGAGCTTTTGCCCTATCTATACGTGATTGTGTCTCACTCTTTGGCCCTCCCCTAAAGTAACTGTTTTTCATTTTGTGACTATATTCACTTTTACCTCCTCCCCCGAATACTGGCTATGGAACTCAGGGCCCTGTGATGCTAGGCAATCACACTCCAGTCTATCTCTGTCTGTTTCTGTCTCTGTCTCTCTCTCTCCTACGTCTTAGTTTTTTGGAAAGTCAGGCATGATGTAACCAGTAAAAGGAACTCCTGTATATAGGCCATTACTGATGTGGGGATTTGACATGTTCTGAGTGCCCTGATTATTCTGTCTTTTAGTGCTCCTGTGGTCCTGGGTTGCGTAAGTACAATTGCCTGCCACCCTGATTATCTCACCCTCTCCATGTAAGTGGGATATGATGACGAGAAAACATTGGCTTGGATATTGCCTTTCTAACAAGTGGAAAGTGCAGGCTGGAATTGGGTCCTTGGGTATGTCCCTTTTTCCATGTCCTGTAGTCTCTGATAAAGCAGTTTATTTTGAGTGAAGCCTTGTTCACTACATAATGCTCTGGTGTATTGCAAGATGGCTGAATATATTTGAAAGGTATTTGCACCTGCTTCCCCTCTTGAAGCATATTCTCTTTGATCATCCTGAGAACCTGAAGTAAAAGCAATAGTTTTTGGGGTATCCATGCCATGTTGTTGTTTGTTTCTTTTTTTGAGACAGGGTTTCTGTGTGTAACTCTGGCTGTCCTGGAACTCACTCTGTAGACCAGGCTGGCCTCTGCCTCCCGAGTGCAGGGATTCAGGGTTTGCCTGGCTACAATGACAGTTTTCAAGTTTGAGCATTCTAAACTGTAAACCAGAAACCCTCTATAAATTTTTAGTACAGCTAGGTAGTTTCTGTAAAGTTTCTATTATGAATTTTGGATTCCTTAGCATCTGTAGGTTAGTCTGGAGAGTATCACACTTCATTAATGCCCTTTTTTGTTTTAGTTTTCAGCATATAGATGATGCTAAATTATTTTGTTACACATTCATCATTTTGCTATTGTAGCATTATAATAGTGATGTTTTTCCTACAGTTACATAAGACTTTACAAATCTTCGGTTTATTGCAGTTTGTTTTGAGCATATCAGTATATTGATTTTTCTTTTGAGACAGGATCTTATGTAAATCAGGCTGGCCCCAAATTCACCATGTAATTGAGTCTGTCCTTGAACTTCTGATCCTCCTGTCTTCATTTCCCAAATGCTGGGATTACAGATGTGCTCCACCGCACACAGCTTTCACGTTGATTTTTATTACTGGCCTTGTATAATACCAGTTTGATTAAACAGTCTACTGTTTATTTGTTATCATTTTGTTTGCTCTTCGGGGTTTCTTTTTCCTGTTTTTAGCCCCCTTTTCCCAGTGTTAGGGATGGAACTCAGGATGGAACATGCTAGACAACACTCTACCACTAAACTTCATCTTCAACCCTTAAAATGTTTATTTTCTTTTTCGGCAGGGAGTCTTCCTGCCTCAGCATCTAGAGTAGCTGGGATAATAGAGATGTACTACTGCACCTAAATTGCCTTGGGATACTCTACTTAAGACAGTTGTGTCTGTGGCCTCAGTTTTGATCAGCCTTCGGCTTTTTTCTCTTAGCCTTTTTTTTTTTTTTTTTTTTCAAACCTTATATCATGGACTAGAACCACCTCTGTTCTGGACCAGCAGTAAGGGATTTCTTTGTTTTATTACAATTTCCTTTCTTTCTTCCTTCTTTCCTTCCTTCCTTTTTTCTTTTTCTTGACACAGGATTTCTCTGGGTAGCCCTGATTGTCTTGAAACTCTCCTGTAGACCAGATTGGCTTTGAACTCAAGAGATTCACCTGCCTGCGCCTCCTGGGTACTGGGACTAAAGATGTGTGCCACCACCTCCTGGCGTTTTATTAGAGTCTTAAGAGAAATATTTCAGAACATTGATGATTTACATGTGCATACCTTTGTTATGGTAGTATTTCCTTCTATTCCTAATTAGCTGATTATTATATGCATGCATTGGTATTTTGCCTGTGTGAGGATGTCCTGGAAATGGAGTTAAAGACAATTGTGAGCCACCATATGGGTTCTGGGAATTGAACCTAAGTCCTATGGAAGAGCAGACAGTGAGTGCTCTTATACCCTAAACCATCTCTCTAGCCCCTAGCTGAGAGCTTTTAAAGATTTATTCAGTTACCTATATGTGTGTTTGTATGAGTTTATGTAACACCACATTCATGCAGGTGCCTATGGATACCAGCGGGTGTCTGATTTCCCATTACTGAAGTTAATAACGCTGAGGAGATAGAAGCAGGAGAATCAGGAGTTCAAGATTAGACTCAGCTACATGGTGAGTCTGGGACCAGTCTGGGTTACATAAGATTCTGTCTCAAATCAAAGTCAATGAGTTAATGTGCTAGCAACAAAGCATTATACATTGAAATGTTATAAAGTTTTCATTCATATAACCACAGGAAAAGCGTCACTACTATAGTGCTACAATAGCAAAATGTTGAATGTGTAACAAAGGACAATCAGCGTCAGTTACAGTTGCAGGATACGTTTCCAGGAACTGAAGCCCACTCTTCTGTAAGAACAGTAATCTTTCTTAATTACTGAACCATCTCTCCAGCCTCTCCTCTGACAGTTTTTATCTTGAAAGAATATTAGGAGGGGACTGGGGAAATGGCACAGTTGTAAAATGCTTGTAGCATGAGTGCCAGCAACTTGGATTTGATCGCTAATGAATAATAAACACTGGGCATGGTGGCAGGTTGGGGGGACAGGTATCAGAGACAAGTAGATTCCTGGAGCTCACTGGCCAGCCAGCCCAGCCAAATAATGAACTTGTCTCAAAAAGTAAGGTTGAGAGTGATTGAAGCTGACACTTGACTTCAACCCCTGACCTCCACACTCACACATGTACATACATATAAACACTTACAAACACAAAAATCACAATATACATACATAAATAAACAAATAAGCAATGGATTCTTTTTTCAAAAAAATTTTAAGCATCTATTGGTATGATTGTGTTTCTTCTTTCAGCTGTTGATATGGTAAATTTATTTTGCAGTGTTGTAGTTTAGGCAAGAAAGTTACAAACCAGGACTGGAGAGATGGCTTAGCTGTTAAGAGTAATTGTCTATTCTTCCAGAGAACCCCAATTTAATTCCTAGAACCCACATGGCAGCTCAAAACTATAACTCCAAGATATGACACCTTCACACAGACATACATGCAGGCAAAACACAAATACACATAAAAGAAAAAAAAAAGTTACAAACCACTATGCAATTAGAGTCCTTTATTGGCCAGCAATGGAGACGAGGCTCTTGCCCCAAAGAGCTCTCAACACCAAAGCTCAAAGATAGAGCATTTGTTAAGACAAAAACCACAGTGAACCTGGTAACCTTTGTTTTGGTTATATAATCAGCAGATATTTTGGTTATTTGGTTAATTTTGCTACTGCTGTGAATTTGTAAACATTTTTGGAGATAGAGGTTTGTTAACTGTGTCACAACCCACAGATTGAGAACCAGTGGTCTGCAGTAGAAAGTCCCAGCCCATTCTGTGTTCCTCTAAGTTCAGTGAAGTCCCATAAAAATCACTTTACTACTCCCCCTTAAACTGTATGCATCCCCCACTTTCCTGCTCCCCTATGGAAAATGTGATATATGTAAGAGTCTGTAGGCTCATGGATAGTTACCTTTCATGATTGCTTCCTTGTGTATAACAAATCTGCAAGCCCTTTCTCTTATTTGATCTGTCATATCCTTCTAGGGAGCTTTCATATAGGGCAGATTGAGTGATGAGTCAGTCTAGCTTTCTCTGCTAAACCAGCCCATGGTTCTTTACTCTAGCTTATGACTTTCAGCTAGGTAAAACTTCCTGTTTGTTCCTCACTACAACTTCTCTATTGTGATTGGCTTTTGCTTTCCCCTCATTGTGTTCAAAATCAGTTTTCTTGAGGGTGCCTTTCTGGGCTATGCCTTCCTGCATCCTGGTCTCAGCCTCTGCCCCACACTACTCTGGAGTGAAAGTCAGAGCAAGTGGCTTGCTTTTCTCAGTGTGATACCCCAGCTTTAGAGAGTGTTTGACAGGGAATCATAGCCTCTGGTTTCCTAAATAATTATGTCGCCCTCGGGTGGGTTTTGTGCTGTCTCTCAGAGGCCTTGTTCCATGTAACTGTCTTCACTCCTGCAGTATTCCTTAATTTTTCAGTGTTTTATGACATTTGTTAGCCTTGTGACTGGCTGGGAGTATGCCTCATCTGCTTGATTTATTATGCCTTAGCCTTAGAAATGATGTCCTTGGATGTCATGGTGGTGCCGTATTCCACACCCCTGCCCCCTCCCCTAATTTTGAAATCAGTATTTATTTCTGCCCTTTTCCTGGGGCCCTTCTTGTCCATTCACCAGGGTCAGATAGCTTTCACACCAGGCCAGAAGCTATAGTGTTTGTTGTCCTTCTCTTACTGAATAAGGATTTGTTTTGTAGACACAAGGAAGATCTGGGTAGTTTTCTGAAACTCTCCCCAAACTGTTCTTGGTCCTGTGCCCAATGATGTGTGGTTCAAGGGTAACGTCTCAGAATTCTCAGCAGTCTTCTGTGCAGTCTGACACATAAATGAAGAAAACCTCTGAAGAGTGAGCAAAACTCCTCGATTTTTGTAATTTTTATTCTTATGCCCCCCCCCAACATAAATGTCGATACCAATAACCCAGGCTTCCCAGCTCCTTTGACTAGTTGTGTATAGGATAAAAGACACATAACTGATTCTTACCATTTGATTATGATAATAGGGCTAATGACAGATGTTGGCACAGGAATAGGAGATCTAACTGTATCCTTTTTATACTATCATTCCTTATCCAAGAAATACAAGAAGTCCTTGATTAAGTTTCTCAGTGTCTAACAAGTTAAGAACACTTGCTGTTTTTCCAGAGAGTCCAGATTTGGTTCCTTGCCGGAGACCAGCTTTGGCAGGGGGTGCGGGTGGGGGTTCAGGTCCCATGCCAGTTCCTAGCACCCACAATTGCCTGTAACTCTTATTCCAAGAGTTCTAGGGGATCCAACACACTCTTCTGGCCTCTGCAGGCACTGGACACTCATGTGGTACATATACATACCATGTAGGCAAACCATTCATGCACATAAAATAAATATTGAAAAAGAAAGAGCCTGGTATCGGGTAAGGGTTGATTCCTGGGCAGGGGGTCACTCTCCAAAGTAGAAGAGGCCTA